TTGCAGAGGTAGTAAAAGTGAGCCAGCTGGGCTGCACACACTCAGGAAACAAGTTAGAGAAGCAAAAGAAGGACCCTTGGAGCTTAGGAGAGAAAAAGGGCAAAGGGAACGCAAGCCTGAGGGGAAGAAGAGGGAAAAGGGCAAGGCGGGGCTCACACGCTGCAGAGGGAAAGCAAGTGGAAGATGTTGCAATTTTAGAATGGGACGGTGGAGATGAGGGTGCAAACCGCAGAGATGTCTAGGGAAGAGCTTCTCCGGCAGAGTGCTGAGCCCTGCAGAGGCGCTAGAGCACGGATGTATCTGGCCCTGTGGGAAAGAAGGAGCCAGGGACCTGGAACAGATTGAGCCGGGGGCAGGAAGGGGAGCCGAGGGCCGAGTCACAGAGCACTGTAAGGACCTCGGCTTTGGGGAAGCCAGCAGAAGCTTTTTGAGCAGAGGACTGACAAGATCAAATTCACCTGCTCATTCTGGCTGCTTTGTGGAGAGCAGAGTATCAAAGGGTAAGAGTGGGTGTGGGGATACGATTAGGAAGCAGGGGCAATAATCCAGGTGAGAGATGAAGGCAGCTCGGCAGCGTGGTGGCTGTAGAGATGACAAGGAGCCAGAGGAATGGGAGATAAACCATCAAGATTTGCTGACAGACTGAATGAGGGATGTGAGAGAAAGAAAGGAGTCAAGGATGACTCCAAGATTTTGGACCCAGGAAACTGAAAAGATAGAGTTGCCATTTACCGATATGGGGGAGGCTGCAGGGAGACATGCTAGAGACAGGAGTTTGATCTTCGATCTATTTTGCTTGGTGGGACAGGCTATGAAACACCCAGCAGAGATGTGCAGGCGGCCATAAATATACAAGTTTGAGGTTCAACGAAAACAGGTACAATTGGGGGAGCCACATTTGGGGAACCAGTGGTCCTTAAACCCCAAGTCTGGCAGGACTCACCTGGGCAGAGTGCAGCTGGAGGAGAGGGAGCCTGGGGCGGAGGCTGCGGTCATCCCAACACCCAAGGCTGAGCGGAGGCAGGGGCAGAGGCCCTGGCCAAGGAGAGTGAGGAGGACAGCTGGACTCTGGAGGGCCAGTGGGGGGGGCAGCCTGGAAGCGAGGGCTGTCCTCCAGTCTTTAAATATGTTTTCAACCAGTATTCAATGCTGGGAGAAAATGCTCAACCAAGGTTACTTGGGGCGGGGGGCGGAGGGGGGCGGGGAAGTAGCCTAAGAAACATGGTGTTAACAGTTCTTATCTGTACATGGTGGCAGATGAGGATTATTGTCAATTTCTTCTTTACAGTTCGGAACATGTGTTACTTTTATAAAAAGTCGAAGATATTTGGAAACAAATATTGGAAAGTGGCTTTTGCTACTCAGAGTATTCCAGCTTATTTCTACCTCGAACATGTGCTACAAAAGGGAATTTAGGTCCTTCTCTCTCACAGTGGGTGCCATGGGAAGGGGCAGTCCCACCTAAACCCAGGGGACTTCTAAAGGCCTCTGGCCAGTAGAAGCACCCTGGGGTGGGGGCAGATTGGTCAGATAAGCACAGGAGGCTGTCTGATGCCAAGCAGGCTCAATCTCAAGAGCTGCTGAGCTGGTGGCATCGGACCTGCCAGCCATGTTTCTCAGAAACAGGGGCACCAGAAATGCCAAGTGCATCCCCAGAACACTGCTTGGCCCAGCATGGACTGATAGATGGACAGAACAGCAGCTTCATTAAAAAACAGTTTATTACCTTCTGTGTCGCCCAGTGCAAGTGAAGATAGGCTCCCTCCCCAGGTGTCCTGGCCTCCCCACCTGAGCCCCTGGAGAGCCGCTCTACAGCGAACCCCTGTCTTGAGGCAGTGTCCTTGTTCATCTGACTCCAGTCCCATTGCTCCTGGCCCAGGGCTAAGCCCCACCTCGAGAAGCCATTGGGATGTTTTCCCCTGAGCGGCTGTTCCCTCCAGTGCCTGAGAAGATGCCCCCACTTCCGGATGCTGGGGCCACGTCCACCTGGATGACACCATGCACCTGGGAGAGCTGTGGGCTGTCCAAGCTGGCGATGAGCTGGCGGGGGCCTGGTCGCACAGGCACGAACGTCTGGCGCAGCGTCACTGTCTCGTTGCCCCCGATGTCCCTGTGGGCAGAGAGAGGGTCATGGGCCTGGGGTGACTGGGGGTGGGGTGGGGAGGAAGGACTGATGGGGCGAGCAGGACAGGAACAGAGGTGGAGCCCTCCAGGCACTTCTGGGCTCAGCTGGAATTCCCACACCCGAGACCAGGACAAAGCCTGAGTCCCAAGGCCGCCTCCACTCGGCCAGATCAGCAGCCACCCACACAGCTGCCTGAGCTAGAAATTTGTCCTTCTCCTCCCACGAACACCTGGACAAAACTGTTGTACTGCCACCCTCTCGTCTCCATTGCTGCCTAACCAGAGCATCCCCGCCCCACACAGGGTTTCCAAGACCAACAAACTTCATTTGGAGACTTTGGAGTTCAACACAGTACTGCCAAATATTTCCTGTTTTACCAAGAAAGAAAGTGCAGGAAAATTAATTATCCTCTGCCACAATAATCTTTCCAAAGAAGAATTGTGATACCCCAAAACTTTGAAAAAGTGTTTTCAGAACAAAAGGGAAGTCCTTCCCAAGAACAGATAGTTGGCATGTTTAAACTGACATACATGTTTGTGTGTGAGACGCGCACGCGCGCACGCGCACACACACACACACACTTCAGTGCTTTTATTTTCTCCCTTCTTCATGGATCTCGAAAATCTATTCCCAGGCCACCCTCCCGGAAATCATAGTTTCACCAGCTCTCTAAATGACCTCCTTGCTTCCCATCTCATTTTTCCATTCTTTTCTCTAACCACTTGAACTTGAACTGAACCCTTCAAGGGCCTGGCTTCCTTGGTGCTCATGGAATGAGACTGCAGCTCCCTAACCTGCCGCACAGGCTCACTCTGACTCAGCCTGCCTGCCTGCACAGCCTGGTCATCCCCCACCATTCCTCCTGCCCACCAGCCCTGATGGGTTCTTTCCCTTCCCTGAACACACCTCCTTTTTCATGCTTTGCCCTGGCTGCCAGTGCAGGCCCACATCACTTCCTCACTGAGGGCTCCCTGGAGCACCTCCTACCCTCAGGAAAATGAATCTGGCCTTTCTCTGAGCTCCTCCAGCAATCTGCACGTGTGCTTTATACACTGAATGTGACTGCATTTATAGAGCACCTGTTCAGGCCTGTTAGCATCTAGCCTTTCCTGCCTATGCCTAAACACTTACCTCTGGCCTCCTACTCAACCCAAGCCTGCCTTGGGGACCCTCTCTGGAGCCACACCCCGTGTGGACACCTCAGTCCTCCAAGGGAATGAATCAACACCCCAACTTCAGGGACGAGCTCTCCCTGCTTGGAGCCTGCTTGCCAGGGGCGTCCCTGGACCACTCTGTACTCCTTCTTCTACCACCGTTAGCTGTGTGGTTTAAGACAAGTTACTGAACTTCTCTGATCCTCACTTTCTGGTCTGTGAAACAGAAGTGAATATAAAATAAGGGGGTAGGATCAGATGGTCTTGAAAGTGTCTTCGAGCTCCATGAAGGAGGGAAGCTGGGGGAGGCAGGGAAATACATAAAGCCTAACTGTTAAGTTATAGACTTAATCTCTAGATTTTCTATCATAACAGATAACTAGAAATTAAGTCTATACCCTGTATCCTGTACCCTGGCTGGTTACAAATTTGTGTTTTTAATTTGTGCCCACTTTTCCACAGAGACATAGTTCTTCTTGTCCTATTCTATAATCACACTGTGTTTTTTTCAGCACATGGCTTTTATTTATGTTACTTCCAGGGAAAATGGCTTTCCAGGTTCCAGCATGGGATGTCAAGATCTCTCCCTGCCCTGGTCTTAGTGTCAGGTGAGACGTTTGCCACACCCGTGTTTGTGAGTTTAAGCCGAGCACATCAGCTGCTGAGGCTGGAATGTGCCTGTGACAATGAGCTCAGGCAATGAAACCAACCCCCTGACACGGACACCAGAATTTAGACATCCAAAATTAGCATTGTCAGTTTCAGTTCTGTACTTGTTCAGCCATGTTGCCAGTGCTTGAAACATTATTTAAAACTCCTCTTGGATTTTTCTTCAGAGTCAATGAAAACCGCGCACACACATACGCACGCGTGCGCCACGAGCACCCAATCACACATGCATATCTGGTCCCTCCTCTACAGCCAAACTTTATTTCTGACTGAGGAAGGCCACCCTAGGGACATTCACTAGAGAATATGAATCAGGCTCTGGGGGAAATTCCCGAGAAGGGTTTGGAGCAGACTTTCAGCCTCTCCTGGTGACTGGTTTGGTGGTGACAATAGCCATCTGGAGGAGTAAGTTCTGGAATGTTTATTAAGTGGCTCTTTACCACCCTGGGTGGCACACCTTATGCTCTAATGGGGTTCTTTACCACAGCCTTTGATGTGCAAATGAGAGCAAAGTAACACCCACCTTGGAATCCAATATATCTGAACCAGAAGACCAGGGACTCCCCCCTTGGGGCTCTCAATTGTCCTGGTGTCCCCGGCCTGGGCTAGCAGCAGCTGAGGAGCCACAGGTGAGGCCAGCCTGCCTTGAGAAACCATCATCCAACTCTAATTTACTGGTGGGGAGACTGGGGCCTTTAAGTGGGAAGGGGGGAATTTTTACGAGCTGACAGGTGAAGAGATGGGCCAGGCCTCCCTGCTCAGCTCAGTGGTCCTTTCCTTACTCCCAGGCGGGGGCAAGACTCAAAGGTCTGGTCTGGCAGGGCTGCTGACGGGAGTCCAGCTCTGGGGATCCCTCAGAACAGAACTTCCCTCTATCATTTGCAGGTGAGAGACGCCTGCAGGGGGAGCTATTGGGGAGACCCAGCTCCACTCTCTAAGCTGCACGCGCCTGGCAGGGAAACAAGGGAAGGCACTCCTTTGTGACATATGACACCATTCAAGGTTCAGGCTGGGCAAAGATCAGGAAAACAACCTTTTCAGCTTTGTCCAGTTGGGAAAAGTGGAGGCCACCAGCAAGGCAGAGCCTGCTGCGACTGTGTGTGTGTGTGTGTGTGTGTGTGTGTGTGTGTGTGGCGGGGGTGGGGAGCAGGGTGGACAGGGACCATCTGTTTCCCCCACCCAGCCCCTCCACATGGGCCATCACTTTCCCTCTGGCTCTCTGTCTAAAGAAGAAAATGCATGCCCGGGTTCCCAGATTGCTGACCTTAAATGTCAGCCTCTGGCCTTCCAGGCTTTCCTTTGTGCTGCTCCTGGGAAGTGACAGGGCAGCTTGTGTGCGTTTGTGTCGGAGAGGACAGCACAGGCCCAGGAACACAGCACTGGGTGAGGCCCTCACAGAGCCTCGCCTGGCCCAGGCCCAGGCCCAGGTGCTCTGGAAAAGGCCTGGGGTGCAGCGCCCCTCCTCTGGAACTGCTGCTCAGCCCTCATGGCACCAACCAAGCAACAGGCTTAAGAGTCTACATGGTGTGTGCCACATGGGCAGAGCAGAGTCTGGCCCTTATGAACTGTGAGACCCTTAAGACGTGGCCATTAGGTTCTCCCTCTGTAAAGACGGATTGATGGTGGCACAAATCAACATAGAAACTACCAGCAGAGCACTACCTTTGTACCAAATACATGCTAAATGCCTTACGTGCATCATCTCATTTAATCTTTACAATGGCCCTCAGAACCAGGTCCTACTGTTGTCCCCACATTACAGGTGAGAAAAATGAGGCTCAGAGGAGAAAAGACACTTGCCCAAGGGCACATAGCCAGTGAGTGATGGAGGTGGAACTTGAATCCACATTTTTAGGATCCCAAAGCTTTGCTTTTAATTATATGATGGTCTCTAATGTACTTTAAAGGGTTTTTGTGATCTCCCAAATGAGAAAATATTCCTGAAAGTGCATGGTCAACTTCTGAGTGCTGCACAACATTAGGGATGAGTTGCTAATGATTCCTACCTGACGTTTTAGCTCCTTAATGAGATGGTGAGGCAGGGCGGGGACACAGCACAACACCACACATGCGGCAGGTCTCCTTAAACTCGCTGCTTGGGCTGAACTGAGTCAGGAGGTATTGCTGGCTGGCCCCAAGCTGCCTTGTTGGACCCTGACAGACCGTACCACCCTGACGATCCTGACCAAGTGAGGAAGCAATGTGAGGCCCAGGGCAGACCAGGAGGCAGGCAAGGAGATGCCAAACTCACCCTACGTTGAGAATCTTGGGTCTCTGTAGCCCGGACCCCTCCAACCGGAAGACAACGTTGGTGAGGGTGACAGGCAGAGGGTTCTTGAAAACAATCTGTACTTCGCATTCCTGGCCAACCACAGCGGCTCCCAACAACTGAGAGAAAAAGAGACACATCCCCACATGAGAGATCCTATCCAAACACATGGGGTCCATACATTGCACAGAGAGGGATGCAAACCTGCTTGACTCCCACATTTCTGCCCCTGAGAGGAGGCTCTGTGTAAACCAGAGACGAAACTCCAAGCCAGTGCTCATCCGAAGTCACCACAGAATCGGGAAGATGAGATCTCATTTTACAGATGAGAAAACTGAAGTATGGGAGCCCAGGGCCAATCCCTGACCTGTTCCTCCTGGAACTGCTTGTCAGGCCAGCCTGTTCCTGACATAGTGCCCTGGCCCCTTCCACTCCGATTTCCCTCAGCCCCTGGCCACCCCTCACGCTCTAGCCAGCTGCCCTCACCGTGAGGGAGAGGTCCGGGGTGCGCAGACGGAAGGTGTGCTGCTTGGCCAGCACCTGGCCATTCTCCTTGACATGGCCTGAGACATTGAGCAGCATGGCCCCCTGGTCCACAAGCTGCGGCCGGTATTCCTTGTAGGCCACAGGCATGGTCACGCGTTCCGCTGGGGAGAGGAGGCATGGTGTCACGAAGGCCTGCTTTCCCAGACCTGGCCTCCCGGAGTCTCCATGGCCACAGCCCTGGGTGCCCGGTGTCTAGCAGGGATGGGGAGGGAGCACTTACAGGCCTTTGGAGCCAGCACCACTTCCTCCTTGTTCTCCTTGAAGACGGACCCTGCGACACCGGTATAGAAGGTGACTGAGAGGTAGAGGTGGAGCTTCACAGTGCGGCTGCTGCTGCTGCGATTGGTCAGCACCACGCCAATCACCAGGTCCTGCCCCATCGCTGCATCCAGGGCCTCCACCTGTATCGCCACATCGTCAGCCGAGTCCCGGGTGGCATATACATTGGGTTTGCTGCCATGGGCAGCTGCTGTCTCCACTGCCTTCCGCTCTGCTTCTGAGCCTGGGGGTTGAGGGTCAAAGTTGAGACGACAGCTACTGTGAGGGTGGGTGCATGCTCAGCAAGAACATTTGGCATGGGCCTGAGCTGGCCGGGTTGGGTACCTTCTGGGTGCTTATAGATGTGGGTGATATCCTCACGCATGTTGGAGCCAATGGCCTTTGTGACGATGAGTGTGCCAATGGCCTTCTCCTCCACGTACACAATCTTGAAGCTGCCATCGTCCTGTCGCTGCCAGTAAACCTTGTCACTGTTTACCTTTTGGGAGAGGGTAGGGGAGTGTGAGCAAGCCACAGGGCCTGCGGTTGGACCTGACTTCAGCTACCTTCCCCTGATCCTCAGAGCAGCAGGGAGGACTAGGTCTAAAGGCCGGGAGCTTCCTGGCAGAGCCAAAAGGGAGACTTTTCCAAACTGAGCCAGATGAAGCCAGAGAGCAGGGAGGCTGGTCTGGGAGGCTCCTCGCAAAGCACTTTGGCATTAATAACAGTAATCCCTTATGCTCGTTCGCTGACTTTATGACTTGTAAAGCCGTTTCATACCCATTATTTCTTTTGATCCTGGGTACGAGAAGCACAGCAGACATTATTATTTCCCTTTACAGTTGAGAGAACGAAGACTCTTAGAATGACTTGCCCAAGGACACACAGCTGGTCAGTCAGCGGTGAAGTCAGGACCAGAGAACCCAGGACTATGCCATTATTTGGCCCTCCAGACTGTTCAAGAAGGTATGTGGAGCGCAACCCTCACCTCAGCAAAAATGAAGGGTGTGTCGTACTTCATGTAGACCAGGCCATTCTTGATGGACTGCACAGAGCAGGGGCCACAGCAGAAGATGCCTGGGGGAGTCAGGGCAGGATGGAGGTGAGAGATCCATGGAGGCCGAAGCGGGACCCTCAGATCCTGTGGAGAGGCCCACCCATCCAGGCCTCGTGCCCTCTCCCTGGCAGTCAGCTGCCACCCAATCCGATCCAGGGAGGGTAAACAGAAGAGTGCGTTTCTGTTTGGCCTCAGTCAGTGGGTGGCAGGGCCAACCCTGGGGACAAGCCTGCATTGTTAACCAAATCATTGACACACTCTTCCTACACTGGCTAAAATTGGATGTTGGCTGGCTGTGATCCCCAGAGGTCAGGACCCTCTATGTCAGGACAAATCCAGAGCCCATGGTAACTCTGCTTGCTGGCTGGGAGATTAATAACACCACGGCCATGAGGGGGACCGGTGGAAAATAGTCTGACCTCATCATGCTCAGGAGGGTTTTTTAGACGAGATGGCTGACAGGGAGGAGGCTTGGCAGGAGAGATACGGGACAGGAAGTGAGGGGCATCCAACAGGAAGGAATCTTAGAAAACACCTAACACCATGGTATTTTTTCATAGATGGGGAAACTGAGGCTCAGAGAGGCCAGGTAGATGCTGGATCTCACAAGACAGCTGGATGTAAGCAAGTGGAAGGAGCTAAGGAGCTAATATTTACTGTGGTCCAGGCATATTGCTAGTCTCTCTAATATTTGATTTCTCATTTGATCCTCCCAAGCACCCTATATGGTACATATTATCCTCATGTTACAAAAAAGAACATCAGAGCTCAATGAGGCAAAGAACCTGCCCAAGGTGACATATCTAAGAAGTAAGCAAGCTGGACACAAGCCTGAGGCTGGCTGGCCCCAGAGCCCCTGCCTGCTGGTCATGGGGACCAGAACTCAGTTCTCCCAGGGACCTGGGCTAGCCTTTTCCAGCACCACAGGCATCGCTGGGTCGCACAACTCGGGGGGGGGGGGGGCACTGTCCTTAGGGATGATTGAAAGGGAAGGGTCTGTCCAGAGACCAGAGGAGAAATGTGGGCTAAGTGAGGACACTCGTACCCAGGGTGAAGAGGGGAGAGGCGGCAGGAAGGCAGCCTGAGGGGCAGGCTGGCTGCCTGGGGCTGCAGTGTTAGGTGGGAAGGGGAGGGACCTGTTTGAGAACACAGTATAGGGCAGGTCTAATTTTTGCCAACATGTGTCTTGTGGAAAAGATACCGGTAGGTCATGTCATTAGTAGTTATCTCTCAGGGCTGGGTATAGGGGTTGCTTTCTTCCTTGAACCTGTCTGAACCCTAATTTTTTCTACACTAGACATATTACTCATAGTGAGCAATGGAACAGACAGAAGAGGACTTGGTGAAAGTGAGAAGGCACATCAAGAAGGAAGGAAGTCAGGGACTGGCTTCGCTCCGCTGCTGACCTAATGCTCCGTGTCCTAGAGAAAGTCACTCCACCTCTCTGAGCCACCATTTACCACGTGTCTCAGAAGGGCTTGGAGTGGGTCCCAAACCCAGCTGATCTTAGCATCCCCAGGGAAACATTCAAATACATAGATTCTTAGAATCCATCCCTGCCATGTCTGATATATCAGGTCTGTGGTGGGACCTAGACATCTACTTAGAACAAAACAAAACAAAAACCTCCTGAGAGAGAATAGGAAATATTTACATTTTACATTATTCAATTCTGCATTTTTTCCCCTTTCAAGCCTGTAGTACTTATAATAATCATTTTTTAAACTTTAAAAATACATACATAAAAGGGTCCTTCAATTAATTATCCCCAGGATATAGAAGTCAAAAATGAGAATATAGAAGCAGGCAAATGAGAATAGTGGATTGGTTGGGGGAGGAAAACCTGCCACTGAATTCTCTTGAATCCTTTGACTCTCGAGCCATCGGAGTATATTAACCACTACACATGAATAAAACTTAGGCACATAGTTACGCAGAAAAGTAAAAATAAACCAAAGGGCACATGGCTGATAAGCTGGTTCAAGGAACCATGGGGTTAAGGGACCTGGCTCCAAGGCCCAGTTCAGCGCCGACCCTGGAGTCTGTATAGATTGGGGATATGGGGAGAAGCCAAAGTGGGGTAGAGGAGCCAGGCAGGGCCCTGTCTCACCACTGCTGGTCTCCTGGGGTGTGGAATCCACGACTTGCCACCCATTAAAGCCTGAGGGCAGATCCGACCTCTTCATCCAGCAGTCATTCCACACGTGGAAGTTCCTGGACAGACACGGAGGGAGTGCTGGGTCTGAGCAGCCCGTCCGGGGCCTCCGCAGTACCCCCTCGGTAGCCAGGTCTCAGGTCACTGTTCCTGGCAAGGGACGAGTAGTCCAGCCCCAGCCCCAGCCTCACCAAACGGAATCATGGTTCAGGTGCTCGAGAGGTTTCATGTTCTCATCAAAGTAGATGTCCATGGTGAGGGATGTGTCTGTGTCATGTGCTGAGTTGAAGTTGGTGACAGTCCGGGTGGCCAGGCCCAAGCATCGCAAAACTGCAGCAGAGGAGGTAGGGTGGGGCTCAGGGCCCAGGGCCAGGGCAGGCGTTGGGCAGAGGTGAGGCAGCAGGTGAGGCACAGCAGGGGGAGAAGGGCGACGGGGGTTGCCAAGCTCGGGCAGGGGTCAGTAGGGTCAGGAGACCTTTGGGTCAGGGTGTGTTGGGGGTTAGGGGAAGCCAGGCCACCTGCCTGGCCTTGCCCCTGCCTGTCCCTCCCCCTACCCCCCGGGCCTCTCTGTGGTTGTTAACATTAATTAATGATAATTAAGGCCAGCCTACCATCCACCGCCCCCACCTGCCCCTGCACCATAGAGACTACTGGGCGGGGCTCATGAAGGTGGGGCCTGGCTCCCCTCCCTCCTCCTGTAGGGCCCCGGCCACTCCTGTCCCAGTTCCTCCACTACCTGTGGTGGTCACACCAGCAAAGACCCAGCACTGGCCGTAAGGGACAGAATAGCCGGTGTGTAGGTAGCTGAGGAGGATCTCCACGCTGCCCACCCACGCTGACGGGTTGGTGCCTCGGGAGTAATCGCCAGACCAGTTCCCAATCAGGACCCCATTGTCATCCAAGGAGTTCACCTGCCCAGGACAGAATGGGATGTGAGGAGTTGGAGGAGAGGCTCAGGGCCTGCCTTGTGGTCACCAGCCCAGCCCCCGGCCCTGCAACCAGCCCTCACCCCTAAATGCCTCAGGATCTAGCTGTGTCCCGCCCAGCCCTCACAGAGCCATCTGCCCTCCCACCCCTGGTCTGACGCAGGAATGTGTATCCTGGGTGTGCCAAGTATCGGGTTTGGCCGTACATTCCATAAGAGCTGGGACAGGAGCCAGGAAGGGTGGGGTGGGGGGCAGGCAATGGAGAGAGGAGGAGTGAGGCCCCTTTCCACCATACCCTTTGCAAGGGCAGGTCAGGGCTGGGGTCCTGGAGGAATCAGAAAGGCCAGGAGTGGGCGGCAAGGCAGGCAGCAGGCAGATACACACAGTAGGGCTCAGAGCCACGAGGGTGCTCACCATGGCAGAGATGACCCGGGAGACACTGACTGGGTCCCCACGGCCTCCATATGGCATGCCCCTCCGGTCCAGGATGTACAGGCAGGCATCCAGCACCCCATGGTCAAACTGGAAGGAGGAAGGGCAGAGGTGACCACAGCCCATTGTAGCCAAGTTGGACCCCTCGGCCAGCATCTTCTCTCCCACCCCACCCCACCCCACCCCACCCGCCTCTCGCACCCCCGAGCGCATTGAGGCCTTGGCCAGCTGTACCTGGCCATAGTTCCAGGTCCGTTCACCAATCTGTGCTTCAGTCCCGTAGTAAATTCTCCCAGACTCATTAAGCACATACTCCTGCCGCCAGTCCTCATGTTCCACGTACACGATGTCCTCTGCGCCCCCAAAATACACATGCCTGATTCACTCCAGCCCTTTCTCTGGGCCCCACCTGCCCTCGGTCAATTCTGCAGGACTCATGTGCACAGAGGACGAACAGGGACACCACTAGCCTAAAAACACTGCTCCCAGGAAGGGCAGAGGGAACACGTCGGAGGCGGTGAGAGGAGGGTGGCTATAACTAGGGCCCTTAACCAGGAGAGGTGAGGCTGTGTGACCTGAGGGGATCATCTTTTGACATAGGACCTAGATCCCCTCACCTGGACAATGGGAAGCTGGCTTCTCCTAGGGCCAGGCGTCCAGGCACCTAGCTGGATCCTAGGAAAGGAAGCCCAACCTGCCTCCTCTCTTGTCTATCCCCCCGCTCCTGACTCCGGCAGGCTCACCTGGACACCAGGGATTGAAGAGGATGTATATCTCATTGCTGGGGTCGAAAGGCAACAGGAACTCGCCAGCCGCTGAGTGTGTGCGGACTGTGAACTTAAACTTGCCGATGATGGCATTGGGGGAGGTGTGGACCCGTAGGTTTAGGTTCTGTCCACTGGACTTGGTCACCTGGGCCTTCCAGCCTCCACTGCCCCCTTTGCCCACTGGGATGATCACATGGGTGCCTTTGCCCACTTCGGGGTTGTTTCCTGGAATGGGGAAAGCAGTAATTAGCCGGTGAGGCCTCCCTGAGGTAGAGGAGACGGAGCCTTAGACTTCTCTCAGCCCCACCCAGAATGCGTATGAGACAGTGTGTGCGTGTCCCTGAGTTGGGCCATCGCCTTACATCGCCTCTGAGGGCAACTCTGTCCCCGCCTGATGCTTGCCCACATGCCAGGGCAGGGACCCAGTCCAACATCCCAAACCTGTTTCCCTGACACTGAACTCAGAGGTGGGCAGGAGGGACCAGGCCACCGTCACCCTCTGCCTGATTGACTGTACCAGCCCTGGCTGGGTCCAGATGCCCCACTTCATGTGAATGGGCAGTCCAGATCTTGAGGGCCAAACCTGCCTGCTCCCTGCAGTTGCCGCTTCTAGAGCCCAGGGCATCCCTGGTGGAGGTGGTGGGGTACTTGGGAAATGAGAGGTGGGGTGGACAAGGTCAAGTTCTAATCAAAGGGTACGAGGAGTCTCCCGCCCCCGGCAGCAGGGTAATCACCAGCCTGCTCAGTCTACGGCCACCAAGCAACGCGGTAAGGGAGGCACCTGCCCTGGGCCATGGAGACAGAGGAAACGCAGTGATGAACTTGGACAGAGAGAGTAGAGAGCCAGCCACACCCTGGGGAAGGAGAGCAGACCCAGAAAGACACACAGAGGCAGCAACTCCGAAGCAAACACCCGAGAAGAAAGAATAGAGAGAGATGCTCCTGGAGGCTTGAAGTGGGTGAGCTTAGGAAAATGGGGACACCAAGACTCTCCCTGCGACACACCCCTAGGGACACACACTTGCAACTGCCTCATCCGGCAGAGGCCGAGGAGCGAGCTGAGGGAGGAACCCAAAGACACCCCTCTGACCCTAATACCAAGGCTGGGAGGCCCTGCTAGCCAGGTCCCTTGCCCAAGTTTTCACCCTTCCCACTACAGTCCCCACTGACCAATGTGCAGTTCCAGGGTGATACGGTCGGAGGACTCATAGGGCCGAGACAGGTAGAGGACCATGTGGAAAGGCTGCCCACGGCGCAGGATCAGCTCATCATACTCGAACTCATCTGTGTGGTGCTCTCGGCGGTTCTGGTCCGAGCGTGAACACAGCAGGTCCACACCGGTCACCACCAGCATGCCCTCTGCAAAGTCACAGCTCCTGGTCAGTGAAGCCTCATGGGGAGCCCAGGGCTATCACTAGCTTCCCAGGCCCCCAGAGATGCCAGGATGAGTCTCAGTCCCCATTAAGGCCTTTTGGCTCTCAGCTAAGATGGACAGGCCAGTCTCACCTTGGATCGTGCCATCTCCAGCTGCGTTCACACCGCTGCCCCGCGAGATAGGTCGGCGGGAACCTGAGCCCCGAGAGTCAGGCCTTCTTCGGCCCCCCGACCTGGATCCTCCACCCCTGGAGCCAGACCCTCGGTCTCTGCGGGGCTCAGTTCCCCAGTCGTCATCTGCCCCACTCCGGCAGGAGCAGCAGCTACAGCAGCGAGCCCAGAAGGAACGGCTCCCTCTGCGTGACCATGTGTCTGGCTCTGGCTCTGGCTCTGGGGATGGTGTGGCGGAGGGCTGCCAGGGGTTCCCGCCCCAGCGGCCCACGTCTGAACGAGGACCTTCCATCATGTCTGTATGGAAGAGGCAGGGAGGCTCCGGTCACCTTCTCAGACTTCTTTACCCAGGACACCCCAGCCAGCCCAGCCAGCCCAGCCAGCAAACCTCCATTCAGAGGGTTGATCTGATCTCAGCCAGATGACAGGTGATCTTATCTTGAACCAGAGATTACTCCAGACCCATCCAGAGACACTCTCTGAAGACTCCTCTCAGACTTACCTAGAGAAACTTCCCGCACTGCAGAGGAGAGTCTTTCCTTCTAGCGCATCCCCCCTCCCCGCCCCCCACCCCATAGACATCCACCAAACCAGACACCCAACCAAGAAACCTGCTCAAGGACCCATGCCAGGAAATGTGTGGACACTTGCCACAGTCTCAAGCCCCCGCTGCACAGACCATCCCTAGAGGTCGACCAGCTGACCGCTTTTAGGACCCATTTCTTAATAGATTCCCCACCCAAAGCTCCTTGCAAAAGACAGGCGGGTGACGCGGGACTTGGGGTCCTTGGCATTCTCCACTTCTGGTCAAAGCCCCGCACAGAGCATCGGGGAGGAGTTGCTCGCTGTGCCCAAGCCCGCACTCCC